TTAAATGTTTTTGCCTTACACGCTGTTTGGTCTCGATGTCAGTAACAGATTTATCATGTATATTTACTATTGAAGAAAGGGAATGGGATCCTCATCGTAATTGATCTATTTTGTATGTTGTAAAAAGCTTGTATGCCGTTTAAGGTGGGCTGGCTGCAAGAGCACTAAAACGTCTCACCTGGTAAACTGTTTTTTACCTGCTTGGGGGACTGTTGTCTCTTCGGTGGAAGATTGGGTGGCCTCATGTTGAGGCTGCTGCCCAGTCCCGTTAACTCCCTTGTTCCCTCCCGGAGGAAGAGGCCCTGCCCAGCTCAGCTTCAGGAAGCTGTGTTAAAAGCCCTTGTGTGGGTTTGGTTTTGTGATATTTTTCCCTGATGGAAAAACTTAATAGCTGTTTCTCAGCGCTCTGTCTGGTAAGCAGGGAAGTGGCCTGCTTGTTTTTAAGTGCGCTAAATGCCCCACTTCCCCTCCCCTGGTCACCAACCCTGGACCAAAGCACTTAAGATATTCCAGTTGTGGTTTTCTGCAGTAGGGGTGGGGATGGGGGTGGGGGTGAGATAGTCCCAGCTACTCTGCCGAGCCCCATGGAGCCATAGTCAGGGTCCACAGAGTGAGACTGCCTCTGCTAGCCCACCTGGAGGGTGTTAGGCCAGTGGCCTCCAGGAACCCATCCCTGACCTCCCAGTTGTCAAAGGCAAGGAGATGAGTCACAGGCCATTCACAGGGTGGGGGTGGGGGTTGGCCTCCCAACAGGAACCCAGACTGGCCTCCAGGGAGAGGGGAGGAAAGCATTGTAAATAGTCTTACTCCAGAGCAACTCAGGGTTGGGGTGTGTTTTGTTCTCCTGATCACTTGAAATAATCTGTCGGCTTGAGTGCTTGTGGGAGTGGGGAGCAGGGTGACTCTAGGGTACTTCCCTTGGCCAAGTTCTAGGGGGTGGAGTATTGTACAGTCGAGAGGCCTTTCCAGGGCAGGCCATCTGGCCGGAATCCCTCTGGAAACCTGACCTGCCGGCAACTGCAAATCGGATTCTTCACATTCCAGTTGAAGTCTGTCTTTCCCCCTTGAGTCTCTGTCCCTGGCTGTGTGGCCCAGCTGGCTTTCTACCAACCACCCTTTAGGGAATGGGAGGGGAGAGAGGAGGGCCATTACCACTCTGCCTTCGCGACTGACTGACTCATCTCTTCAAAACAACATGAAGCAAAACTACAATCACCTTCAAAAACTGATGGCAGGGTGTTTGGTTCCATTCAACTCCACGGTCATTGTGCCTTTACTTGTGCTAGGTTTCTGTGCTTCCTCCTTCCTTGGTAATGCTCCTTCTGCTCCTGCTCCTGGCAGCCTAGCCGGCTCCCTCTCTAATTGTCTTAAATGTCATTCCACGGTGGCAGAGGGGCCTCGCCTTTTTTCGTACTTATTCAAACCTCGGCCCTTTCCCAGGGTGACCAGCATGGAAGTCAACAGTCAACACTGAATAAAAGACTAGAATGACGTGTGTGAAGTCTGTGTGCGTGTGTGTGTGTGTGTGTGTGTCTGCACGTGGATCAATTATAAAATAATTTATTGTATGATTTATTTTGGAGATATATTCTGATCACAGCGCTCCTTTCTTCCAAATAGCATCGATGCCCCCTACCCCACTCCACCCCCTACCTTCCCCAAGATGTGTAATCTGGTCTCAGGATGGAGTCTTTGGTACATTTTCTCTCTTCTGGATGCCATGCAGCTTAATTAATTAAACCTTTAAACAAAACAAAACAAAAACTGTGTCCTCTTGTCTGGAATACTGTCTCAAGTAGTGGCTCAGAGGGGACGAACACTGTTGCTTCCTGGGCCGGGTTACTGTGCAGTGGTTTGACAGCAGCCAGGAGGAAAGCAGACTTCCTGCTGTCTGGGGCAGAGGCTCCTGAGCTTCCCTGTGTTCTCTCCCTCCCTTTGATCTATTTTGAAAACCACCGTGTAGTTTAACAGGCTGACCCGGTGGTTCTGACATTCTGCTTATTATGCCTTCGCCTTGCATTTCCAGCACCAAGATAACCTTTTTCTGGTTCTTTCTACCTCTTTCACATGACAAGGTTCTCGAGGAGTGGAGACAAAGGGGGCAGCAGCACGACCAGGTGGCTTTAAAGCTATGTTGGTTTGGGCTGTTAGCTTCACTGCTTTTTAGTCGAGACCTTAGCTCGCTTGCTTGAACTTTGACCTTAGGTGTAAAAATTCAACCAGCTGTTCTCTGCTTACTGTGGTCCACTGACATAACGGCTGAACTCAACTTGCACTTTCAGCACTAGCAAAGGTCTGGACATTATTTCCCGTATTGATTCATAAGGGTGTGTGTGTGTGTGAATCACTCACTGTTTAGATATAAAAGCCTTAGAGGGTAGGGGAGGGCGGGGAAGAAAGGCCTCTTTGTTTTCATCCATACGGACTAGATGATTTGATCCATCATTGTTATTAATATTAATAAACTACCTATTTATTAAGTTGTTTTTTTCTGTAACTTTAAATGGCCTTCAGATGGGAATGCAATGACCCTCAACTTCCTAACCGTCCAAGCTTTATAGTGAGTGTTCTCACTCACGCTCACAGGAGGAGGCCAGACAGATCCTCCTCCTCCCCAGCACAGTGTGAGTTAGCAGGGGATTGGGACCCCTACTTGCTCATCCGTTTACTGTGGCACAGCTGCTGACAGACAACGATCCTCTTACATGGATTTCCCAAGCAGATACCAAGGGCTCAAATAGAAAGTACATGTTTAGAAAATAACCGTGGCAACATATGTACATACATGCTTGATACAATAGATGTATGGGTTATTATAAGAACCCCCAAGAAAATGATCTTTTAAAAAGGAAGTATTTCCCAGCCCAAATAAACCACAGACCACAGGGCAGCGCTTCACCTCTGATGTCACTGGAGGCCAGTTTCGTTAGTTTTGGATGTCACTGAATTCATTCTTCACTCCAAAGTGTGCGCGCTTCCCTGGCAGGACTGTCCCTTCCCGCCTTCATTCAGCAAGCAGGGACTGCATCCTCTGTGCCAGGCATCCACCAGGTGAAGAGTACAGCGTGCCTCTGCCCTGGGAGCGGCTTCCAGAACCCTGTTCAAGGCACTGACGGGCCCTAAAGCCGCTCGCCTGAGCCTTGGCATAGTTGTTACACGTTGGGCTGCTAACTGCAAGGGCAGCAGGTCAAACCACCAGCCGCTCCTTGGGAGAAAGGCTTCCACTCCCGTCAGGAAACTCATGGGGCAGTTCTTCCCTATCCTATGGGGTCACTAGGAGTCGGTATCCGTCCAATGGCAGTGAGTTTGAGAGGAGCTAGCCAGGGAAGGAGGAGGATGGGTGGCATTCCAGATGGGAAACAATGGACAAAGTAACAAGCAATAAACAGTGGTGATGTGTGCATGATGTTAGTGGAGTACTGAAGAAAGCTTCAAGTAGATAACCAGGAGCCCTGTCGGTCATTTCTATGTGCTTCCATAGTGGTTATTTACACTTGTAGACTTTTCTCTAGCCAATGCGTGATAAGTGTGTGCATAGGCTCCAATACGCAGATTAAGTCCTCAGAGCCTCTTGTACTGTTACCTCCATCTCTAAAGCTGGCTGGGCACACCTTCGCATTTCAGATTGTGGGCGACTTTTTAGGTGTCCAGGTTAAGAACAGAAGGAGTGGAAGTTACACCCCGGCTGCTAACCCACCGCCATTAAACTTACTTGGACTCAGAAAGACCCCATAGGGCAGAGTAGAACTGCCCTTTTGGGTTTCTGAGCCTCTGAGTCTTTACAAGAGCAGATAGCCTCATCTCTCTCCTTCCGAGGGACTGGTGAGTTTGAACCGCTGGCCTTGTGGTTAGCAGCTGTGTTCTTAGCTCACTACACCACCAGGGCCCCTTTCCTGCCTTCTAATGCCCTTTAGTTAACGATATGTAAGTTTTTTCCTTTTCTGGCAATTACTTTCTTTCCTCCAATAGTTGCTAGAAAGTCTTCACTTTCTCTTCCTCATTAGAAGGTCATTTTAGAACCTGTGCCTCTCCCGTCTAATCTATGATTAAGTGGTCATGAGTTTGATCTCCGGGGCTCAAATTCCAGCTCTTCCACTTCTTAAGTCTTGTGACTTCAGGCACGTTTGCTCAATGCCCCTCTACTTTGGTTTCCTCATTTGTAAAGTGGAAATAGTAACCTGAGGGTGCTTGTGAGGATTAATAATGTATCTCAGGGAAATATTGAGCCTCGTCCCTGGCAGACACGGAAAGCATTCCACATTAGCTCTTTCCTCTTAGATGAACTGACTACAATTAACTGCCGGTTGTAATGGTTGTTTTTTTATTTCTCAGCTTTACGGCCATTTCATTTGATACTGAGGGATGAAAGGTAAATGCTTACCATCATCTAGAATTATTGGGTTTTGGCCTCTAAAGGAACCTGGGGTTTAGATGGAGTATTAACATCAGAAACTAGCCTGTAAATTACTGTTCTAATTTATATTTTTCATTAAAGACTCAGCTTGCTTGTTCCCCCCCCCTCTCCCCGCACCCCGCTTGTTTTTCTATAGCTGTCTTTCCTGGCCTTGAAACCCTAGTGTTAGTCATTAAAAAATATTTTTTAATTAAAGGACTATAATTCTCGCCACTCACAATGTGTGGATTATGGGTACAGAATATAATAGTTCTTACCTTGAATAAAAGCAAAAGTCTGGCCCGGTTTCCTCACCTCTGAGGCAGAAATCAGCGAGACACTGTGATGCAGTGTACTTTAAGTATATGTAGAACTTTGCATGAAATCTGGTCCTAAGGCAACATCAAGGTGCCCTGCCCTCTCTAATCAGCCTGTGCTCACTTGCTTTGTGACTTGCTTGGTGGAAGCCTCCTCCATCAAGCCTGGCGCTCAGAACCACTCATTAAGGGGTAGGTATTATGTAGCAGCTCTGAAAATTTAGCCCATCAGGAATAATTACAGAGGGGTGCGTTAGGCACAGAGAAGGGTCACCCCCTCTACACTGCACGCAAAGACGACCGCGGAGACGCAGCAGCAGGAGGGTAGACTGCATCTCCCAGTGTGCTTTGCGGCATGGCGGGTCCACCTTAACCAGAGCCGTCCCCGCGGGACGGCGCGTCTTCTCGCGGAGGCCCCGGATGCGGATGCCGTCCGGGCCCCGTGGGCGTGGCCTCAGAGTGGCGCCGAGGCCTGAGAGTCTCATTGGCTCTGGGCCTTCCAGTTGTACGAGGCGCGGGAAAGGGGGCGGGGGCTGTGGCGCGCCGTGCTCCTGCGATAGCCAATCAGAAGCCTGGTCTGGCTTTGGCGGGAGGCAGGAACGCCGCAACGCTGCAGATTTGGCGCCAGCGCGGTGGGACGGCTGCTGTCGGCGTCGGTGTAGCAGCTGCGTGTGCGAGACGGAAAACCGCCTGCACGGAGGTGACAAAGCCCCGTGAGGTGGGAAGGTGAGGACTGCGGACGCGAAAGGTGCTCTGGGAGGCCGCGGAGTTGGAGGCGAGGGGAGCGGGGTCCGAGCTAGCCCGAGGCGAGGGAGGGGAGGCGAGCCGATCCTCCGCCGGGAGCTGACCGCAGTGCGTGCGCCGAGGCGCCGGGGGCTGTGGGAGGGGGAGGTGTCGGGCGCGGGTGGGTATGGGGGGGACACGGCGTGCAGGGCGCAGGGCAGGACTGGCAGACGCCGAGCTCTCGGGTCTCCCTGCCGAAGGCTGCTGCGCCGCCGCGGTCCCGTCGGGCCGCTGTACCTTCTCTGGGGCCCGGGGATGGTGCGGGGGCTACAACTTGGGCTGCGAACCACGAAGTCGGCGGTTCAAACCCACCTGCCTCCGGGGTCCTTCCAAAACTTGAGTTAATATCTGCAAAATGCTTACCACTGCCTCGTCCGCTCCGTGGGTAGCCATCGTTTAGGTTGGCCGTGCAGCGGGAAGGACGCAGAAATATTGGTGTCACGTAACTGACTCCTGCCGTGGGCGAACAGCTGTGTCAGGCGACTTCGGGGGGATGATGTCCCGCTGTCAGAAAGGACGGCGTCTGGGGCGTGCCGGGCTGGTCTTAAAACGCGCGCCGCAAAAACGCACAGCTTGTGTGAGTCAAGCATTGCCCGTGATGAGATCCGGGACCGAAGGAGGGACTCGTACTGGATCTTAGAGTCTGAGCACTCAGTTCGCAGAAGGCCACGGGTGACGGTGGAAGCCCAGCATCCATTCGCAGGGTCCCCACATGCGGAGTCCCCGCTGACCATTGACCAGGGCCGTGAATAGCCTGCTAGCAGACAGTGTTTTGGAAACTAGACTGATGCAGAGGTAGTTAGGTGAAAAGTTAATGCCATTTCTTTTGTTCTCCCGTTTGACCCATTTTAAATTTGTTTTCGTTTTTATTATTTTCTGTTACCTTTTCAACTGAGGTTCTGTTGTTAGTTTTGGTCAGCTTTTTTGGTATGTTTTTCTTTATATGAAATCCAGGATAGTTGGATTTACACAGTAACTGGATTAATAATTTCTTGTTTTTATGCCAGAGGTTGAGGGGAATTGAGCTAATGATGAGTACAAGAATGCAAGCTATAATCATGATCTATAACTGTAAATTTTCTTTTAGCTACAGTTAGAAAACAAAAACAAGTTAATTTAATGATTTAATCCAATGCACCCCAAATATTACATTTTAGCACATAATCATTATAAGAGAATTGATGGTGTGAAAAAAGTAAGGGAATGTTCTAAAATTATCGTGGTGATTGCTCAACCCTTAAATATGTTTAAACTTGAATTAAATGATAGGTGAATTTTATGTCATTAAAGCTTGTTTTATTTAAATGTTGTGTTCTTCCCCCTTTTGGTTTACATACTAGTTGGCTGTCTTGTTCTTTCTCCCATATAGCCGAGTTGCCATTATGCCTCAAACCCGATCTCAGACACAGGCTATAATCAATTTTCCAAAAAAGAAGCTATCTCGGACATCGGAGAAAGCTAAAAACTGTCGGGACACCAAACTAGAGCTCGCAAATGCTCAAGCCCCTCCCCATTCTCCTTGTGAAAAAATCCTGCCTCTCAGCCCCAGGAAACGTCTAGGTAAGCTGCCTGTCTCCTAGGTACAACTTCTGGACAAATCTCTCTGTTTCTTCTTAATACCGATCTCTGATCTGACACTATTTCAAATGACCCTGTGGTATTTTGCAACATGTCTCAAATGTTTATGAAACTAAGGAAAACAAGTAGGTGGCGTCCTTGGTACCTTTTCGTTGGTTCGTTCGTGTTGTGGAGCAGTGGTGGCAGTGCTCTCTTGTGTTGGAGAAGCCGAGCTGTTGTTTCTGATGGGGAGGAGGGAGGGTTTGGCAGAGTCCTGAGGCACTGTGGTTTTCACCACTGAGGTGGTGACGCAATCGAGCCAGTACTTCTGGCACAGTGGGGAGAAGCCAAAGGTGCTACAGAACGTCTCACAGGGGACCGGAAGCCCCACAACAAAAAGACCTCTCCCTTCCAGGATGCTGGTGGTGCGCAGCTTGTGAAATACTGTGTCCAACAGTCTTAGCGTTTCTTCTCACTAAAACTTGCTGGTTGGGGATTCTCTGAGGGTGGTGAGACTCAGGGGTGCCCTCTGGTGGTCAGTTCTCTGATTTCTAGCCCATTCTCTTTCTGGTCGTGGTGGTTCCATCCCAGGTTGAAATTTCCCCCTTGCTGGGGAAGGAGAGGTCTTTGGGAATCCTTTTACTGGCCACTGTCACAAATGCGAATTTCATCTGTTTTAGGGGATGACAACCTATGCAACACTCCCCGTTTACCGTCCTGTTCGCCACCAAAGCAAGGCAAGAAAGAAAATGGCCCCCCAAGCGCACGTATGCCTAGGGGGGGGCGCAGATTGGTATTTGACAACCAGCCGACAACGAAGTCTCCCAGGAAAAGAGAACAGGTCAGAGCTCCCCAAAACAAGGCACGTCCTCCAGTCCAGAAAGGCCCCGAGGGGGCGACGCAGCCTGAGCAGAGAAGGCCGCTGGAGAAAGAGGCAGCCCGGATAGGACTGTTCAAGCAGGAAGGTTCGTTTATGGTTGGCAGCTGTTCGTGCGTTCTTATAAATAAGGCTGGTGGCTCTAAGTGAAACCCGTGGGTCTTCCTAGTGGCCTTCTGTTGTGCCTAATTGTCCTTTCACGTCTGTACAGGCACTTGCTACCAGCAAGCAAAGCTGGTCCTGAATACAGCTGTCCCGGATCGGTTGCCTGCCAGGGAGAAGGAGATGGATGTCATCAGGAATTTCCTGAGGGAGCACATCTGTGGGAAAAGAGCTGGAAGTCTTTATCTTTCTGGTGCTCCTGGAACTGGAAAAACTGCCTGCTTAAGCCGAATTCTGCGAGACCTCGAGGTACTCGGAGGATTCAAATTATGGTGCTCTTGCTAAAACAAAGGCGTGGGGTTCACACTTTCCCCCAAAAGGGCACCTTTCTGTCTTTCTTTCTCTCTCTTTCTCCCTTTCCAAATGAAAGCGAAGCTTCCGGTCTTGTATGTGGCTAGCTCCGGGAAAACATTCTTCTTTCCCTCAAATCTTTATCAGAGGCCAAAGTAACTCTTGGGTTTTATTTTATTTTTTCCAGAAGGAACTGAAAGGCTTTAAAACTATCATGCTGAATTGCATGTCCTTGAAGAATGCTCAGGCTGTATTCCCAGCTATTGCTCAAGAGATTTACCAGGAAGGAGGATCCAGACCAGCTGGGAAGGACATGATGAGGAAGTTGGAAAAACATATAACTGCAGAGAAGGGCCCCATGATGTAAGTATTGCACTGCTGCAAGGTCTATTGCCCACAGACACATTCCCATCTGAGCCACCAGTTTGCTCATAAAGAACATTTCCTATGTTTGCTATGTGAGAGGAGGCAGTTAAACTTCAAAGGGGAGGGGGTAAATTTTTTTTTTTTTTTAATGACTGGAAGATACCCGGGTGATACCATTTTGTGATCGAGGTTGTCATGTCATTTCCATAGTGAATTATATATCAGACAAGTGATGATGATCTCACACGGGTCTGGGCTCTAGGAATGGAACCTAAAGTCAGCCCAGACTAAGCAGATTGGAGGTTTAGGAAGGTGGAGCCAGATGCTAATGATTTCTTTCTCTGCAGTGTATTGGCGTTGGATGAGATGGACCAGCTGGACAGCAAGGGGCAGGACGTATTGTACACACTGTTTGAGTGGCCGTGGCTAAGCAGTTCTCGATTGGTGTTGATTGGTTAGTGCTCGTTCGCTAACATTACATGGTGACTTGAAAGTGTTCACCATTATCTCTGTTCAGCTTACTTATCACTTTATCTAAAAACCACTCTTGTACTTTCTGGTCGATATAAGAAAGTTAAGATAGCAGTAATTTTTAATTGTACTTTAGGTCTGAATAGGAATTACATTATACTACATTTCAGAGATCATTAATTTTTGGAGAATCTGGTCTTGCTGATTGGTGTTAATGCCTTCTATATCACTTAAAAAGAGTGCTCTGGGATGACTATGCATGACTTAACTAATGACTCCCGGGGGCCCGGTGTGAAGCCATTGGGGTGCTGGATTCTAACTGGGAATTTTCTGTTACTTTCAAACGATTGGTTTTTCTTCCAGGGTGATTTGATTAATGATTAGTCTTCATCTCTTCCTCAGGTATTGCTAATACCTTGGATCTTACAGACAGGATTCTGCCCAGGCTTCAAGCTATTGGAAAATACAAGCCCCAGCTGTTGAACTTCCCACCTTATACCAGAACTCAGATAGCCACTATCTTGCAGGATCGGCTTAATCAAGTGAGTGCCAACCATTGTGCTAAAATATATGTTCTTCGGGGTGCCTGTGGTGGGAAAACCTTGCCCCATTCCATGTTCAGTCCGACTTTACAAGACAGTCAAGCTCTGTAAGGCAGAGTGGAGATGTCCCCTCGTATGTTCCAGGCTGTGGATCTTCACAGAAGCAGGCTGCCCCGTCTTTTTCCTTTGGGGCCGCCGGGAGGGTTGAACCACCACCTGTTTGGTTCGTGGCTGGGCGTTTTAACCACTGCACCACCAGGGCTCCTGGAAAACCTACTAACAATGGGTCAGAGGTATTTGCATAGGTTGCTTTACTTACCAGTGGTGGGGTTCTGATGGTTGTAGTGAGAGAACGTCCCTGAATTTCCGCATGCTCTATTGACCAGCTGTCTACGTGTTGAAATGAAAGTAGCAATTAGAGGAGGCACTCTAATGCTTCCTTGGCTGTTAAAAATTGGGCCTATAAAACGGTTTTTCTGAATTCTAATGACTTTTTCCCATTTCTGAATCTACCATATTCCTGCAAAATGCTGAACTGTGTGAAACCCATCGTGAACACCTCCATCTACTTCTAGGCAAAAAGAGTAGCTCTTAGAGCAGCGGTTCTCAACCTGTGGGTCACGACCCTTTGGGGGTTGGACGACCCTTTCACAGGGGTCGTCCGATTCATAACAGTGGCAAAATGACAGTGATGAAGTAGCAACAAAAATAATTGTATGGGGGGAACGGGGAGGGAAGGGGGAAAATGAGGAGCTGGTACCAAGGGCTCAAGTAGAAAGCAAATGTTTTGAGAATGATGAGGGCAACAAATGTACAAATGTGCTTGACACGATGGATGGATGAATGGATGGTGATAAGAGTTGTATGAGCTCCCAATAAAATTATTTTTTAAATAAAATAGTTTTTTTATGGTTGGGGGGTTGTCACCACATGAGGAACTGTATGATGAAAGGGTTGCGGTATTAGGAAGGTTGAGAACCACTGTCTTAGGAAACAGGGTGGCTCATTAAGTTTAGGCTTAGCTATGAAAATGTTTATGACCTGGGACCTAGATTCCAGAGAAGGGAAATCTAGTTCAAACAGTCCCTTTCTCTGTGTTGTCCGAAGGTGTCTAGAGAGCAGGTTCTGGATAATGCTGCCATTCAGTTCTGTGCCCGCAAAGTCTCAGCTGTGTCGGGTGACGTTCGCAAAGCGCTAGATGTTTGCAGGTGAGTTATGGCCCTGTGGGTCGCTTTTATTAAAAAAAGAAATACTGTTAATTGTCTCATGTAACTCAAGTGACTATGGCCTAAGAGGCTCCATTCTGCGACTTTTTATGCTCAGAAAGGAGGGCTTGTGTCTCAGTGGGGAGCTCTGCATTTCCACCGTGTTAATGTCTGAAGCATTATCAGTCCATTACCTACGGAGGGAGAAACAAATGAGATGTTGCTGGCACTCCCTGTGGTGATTATAGATTGGTTAATTACATTTGTATTAAAAAAAGACTCCAGTTTACTTTTCCATTAGCTGGTCTCAAGCAGGTTTATTTATGGACCTGAACCATCTTTGCCGTTAGACTTCCCCTCCCCTTTCCTTTGCTTTTGTGAGCACCCTGCCCTCGAGTTGGTGGTCCTCTGCCTCTCCTCCAGGCCTCCCTCTCCTCCATCCCTCTGCACCCCCTGCTGGGGAGAGCCGCCATGCTGACTGATGGAAACTCTGCCTTCCCAGTGGGGACACTGGGTCCATTAAAATGATACTCGCTGTGCTAGCCTGCTGGTCCAGCCTCCTGCTACTGTCAGGTCTGGCTTATGGCTTCCTGTGGGCAAAGTACTTTGGAGAGAGCAGTGGGAGAGAGCTTTTCCTAGTGCTAGATGGCATGATCCTGGATTTGAGAGTCCCTTCATCAGCAAGGAACTTGGGGAAAGACTGCAGCTGTGAGTCATGGCCATGCAGGCGGGGGAGGTTCGGCCTCCGTGAGTCCCAGGCAGCTGTAACCGAGCCCCCCACTTGGGTCTAGTACATGTGGGCTGAGCGCACTCTTCTGAGATGCCCCACTATACTTGCTCTCCCCATCCAGGCCATTTCCCGATATCCAAGCTGTGACCGTGGGCAGCATGTGTGCTGACCTACTTGACATCTGCAAGAGGAAACGGCAGTACTGCAGTTTCTCAAATGCTCCTATCATGAATTGTTTCAAAGCCGTGAAGTCCCTTTTAGCTGAGACATAACCCTGTTTTGTTTGGGGGGGGTGTGTGTGTCTGTAAACATGATTAAGAAAATAATTTTAATTAAGGTGCTTGGTTTTAAGTAGAATCTTTTTTTTTTTAATAGGCGAGCTATTGAAATTGTCGAGTCAGATGTCAAAAGCCAAACTATCCTCAAACCACACGCTGAATGTAAGTAGTTTATCTTCTTTCTGTATTGGAAGCTTGGCTTTTCTGAAAGGTGAAATGAACAGAGTGAAATCCACAACTGCCTGTTTCATGTGTATGTCTGTACATTTGGTCCTTTTCGTCTGCCCGCCCGCACCATGTCCTCCACGTGTTACTGGAAAAGCGTTCCCTCGGCATGAACATCAATGGCTGGATCAAGGAGGTGTCCTTGCCAGCTCTGGCTTGTGAAACTCTAGGTCAGCTTTTCTCTGGGTGTGTATGTTGAGTGCGTGTAAGGTCTCGATGCTGGAGAGATCATCCTGGTAAATGAAGGCCGGCCAGGTGAAAGAGCGGAGTTCAACTCGGGACATCGCCAGGCTTTGGGCAGGGGTGAGGTACACACTGCAGACTTTTAAAAATGACAAGAGGAATATCCCTCTCCGCTTTGCTGTCATCTGTGGCCCTAAACTAAGTATCTTCTAAGTCTTTGATTCCAGTGTTAACCTTTTGAAACGAGACCATCTGATTTGCTGATTTCTTCCTGTACTTCTATACCTGCCAGGAATGATTAAATTTGCTGCTAGCACTATAGTTCCACTTAAAACTTCTTTTCATCAACTTGTTAAAATAAAATCAATATTTAAGAAGTAGCCAAACTTCATGCTTGGGCTGATTGATGGTAGGCAGTACATCCCGATGTGTAAACTGGATGCTGGTTTCTTCTTTCTCTTTTCCAATTGTTCTATTTGTTTTTTACTATTTAAAATAGTAAATCTTAGAATTTGATTAGCACCAGTCACAGCACTTGCAGTCTCCTGTCGTGAAAGGGAACTGTAGCCGCTTTCAGGGACCTTAAAGATCTCAATGATCATTAGGGCTGGTAACATGGTTTTACTGCTGCCAGCTTTCTCTAATTTCCTAAATGCCTGCAGAAACACATTAGGTAAACAGAATCAATGGGATTTTTTTTTTCACCCTTTCCAATATAAAAGAGGAGGTAAGTTCTTGGCATCAATTATTAGACTAACCTAATTCCTGTCTTTTGACTTCTAGAATGTGTGGTGTTGACTTTTAATGGTTCCAGAAAGCTACAGGGACCTAACTTCAATTTAAATCACAGAAGGCACTTTCCAGTACTAGAACTCACTAGGTTTCTATGGAACATAGGGTGTTCTCCAGCACTGCAGATACTTAAACAAAGCTGGCGAGATGATCACGTGTTGGGATTTTGTAGAAGGGGCTCTGCTGTCTGGTAGGGAGCAAGAACAGATCTCTCAATTCCTTTCAATTTGAAGATTTTATTTCATCAGTGCTCTCTAGTGCTGCTTGCTAGTGGTCTACAGCATCCTGCTTATTGTAGTCAAGTAGACAAAAATTGTCGGAGCTGCAATCCGTCTCAGGCAGGGACTTCAGGGCAATCCCTCCCCCATCTTGCCACTTGGCATCTCCCAACAATAGGGCCACAGTCCTGGGCCTGCTGCTTCTGCCATGGTGCTGTCTACTAAGATGCCCCATGGCGTCTTCACAAGTGCTGCTGTCCTGCGTGGGCAAGTGCACCAAGTCTCACAGGTCATGTGGAGAGGCCGTCTGGAGGACTGGTGTGGCGCTTGACTTGACAGACATGGGGAGCCCTGTCATTGGGCTCAGGACGTTGGGTTCTGTGTAAAACCCTTTTTTCCTCTTAATTTCCGGACAATCGCCGTCATCTTTGCTTTAAGATTCGGTTCTTTACCTTTGAGACAGGAGGAACTTTGGTAGTTTTCTGTGTGATGTTGACTGTTTTCTGAGGAGGATTTGTCTGTGATGGAACGTCTGTTCCACAGGACAAAAGAGTTTGCTCTCCTGACCAGGACAAGAACCCTCCCTACCTGGTGTCATGGGGGCATCGTTCTCATGGTACTATTTGCCTTCACGTCCTCAGAGCGGAACCTCCTGTGGGTTTCTGAGACCTCACTGTGTATGGGAGTAGAAAGCCCAGTCTCTGTCCCTGGGAGCTGCTGCTGCTTTCAAACTGCTGACCATTTGGATCATAACCCAAATCCTAGCCACTACACCACCAGGACTCTTGGCTTCATGTCCTAGGGCTGCCATACCCAAAACATCACAAACGGTGGTGTTCTTTATAAAGAACAGAAATTTATTTTCTCCCAGTTCTGGAGACTGAAAGTCCAAATCCGGGTCTCCACTGTGGCAGCTCCTTCTCTGGGTCTCCCCTGTATTTGGTAGGAGCAGTACTTGATAATCCTTTACACATTAAAGATGCGGCTGCTTTGGTCATCACAGTCTCCCCTGCATCTCTCTCTCCTGGTCTTCATAGAAGACGTTTGGTAGAATCTACTCTATTCTGACATGACGTTATTAGCACAGCTATTTGCAAACATAGACATGGGTACAAAGGTTGAGGTCCTAGTACACTTTCAGGGGTTTGGGGGCACAATGCACCCCCTACATGTGACTCCCCTCTCATCTTTGGGCTTCCAGGGAGTTGGAACCTCTGCTCTGCCCCCATATAGCAACACTTGAACTTCCTGTAGCTCAGTGGTTCTCTACCTTCCAAGTGCTGCGGCCCTTTCAGACAGTTCCTTGTTACTCCTTCATCACTGTCATTTGCTACTGTGCTGAATCAGGCGACCCCTGTGAAAGTGTCGTTAGACACCCCCCCCCCAAAAAAAAAAGGGGTCGGTACCCACGGGTTGAGAACTGCTGCTATAGCTAAAACTTGGTGTCATTTCTCTCCACACATGTATAAACCCTATTTTAAAAATCCAACTAAGCGTGATTGATTTACTTACTTTCTAGGTAAATTGTCTTCTGAGCCTGTGATTCCCAAGCGAATTGGTCTTGCTCACATATCTCAAGTTATTTCAGAAGTTAATGGGAACGGGATGCCTTTGAGCCAAGAAGGAGAGCGAGACTCCTTCCCTCTCCAGCAGAAGATCCTAGTCTGCTCTTTTCTGCTCCTGACCAGGCAGCTGAAAACCAAAGAGGTCCCTCTGGGGAAGGTAAGTCAGGAGTGTCAGCTGACGGAGGTGAGGTGAGAAGCTGCTTCACAGAGCAGATGTTTTCCAAAAGGCCTACTAGGCCCCAGCTGATCTGATTTAGGAAAGCTAAGTTCGTTTAGTAAAAGCTAAAACCAATCCTCAGAGTGACCCTTTTGGAACAGACCGAGCGGAACTGTTCCCTAGGGTATCAGGCTGTAACCCTTCTTGGGAACAGTCTGCCTCATCTTCCGTGAATTTGAGCCACAGGCCTGTGGTTGACAGGCCCCTGCATGGCCCACTGTGACACCAGGGCGCCTTTAAGTTCTGGTGCTATAGCCAGCTGATGGCCTTCTCTTGGGTTGTGCTTGAGAATTTAGCATCTTGAAAAGGGAAATCCAGATTGCTTTGATGCAAGCCCAGGCGCATGTTTTCTAAAAGATTGTAAGGTAACTCGTAAGTTGTGACTTCGCTAACACCTGTTCTCCCTTATTTCCTCCTAGTTATATGAAGCCTACAGTACCGTCTGTCGGAAACAGCAGGTGACAGCTGTGGACCAGTCAGAGTGTTTGTCACTTTCAGGGCTCTTGGAGGCCAGGGGCATTTTAGGGTTAAAGAAAAACAAGGAAACCCGCTTCACCAAGGTATAGCCGCTGCTTTCTGACTGCGCTTCTCATTGTCCTGTTCTGGAGAACTTCTTGGCCAAAGGGAAACGTGAAAAACTAGAAAAACAGTCTGGTTCTTGTTCGGTGGGGTTTAAAGTCTGAGGATGGGACCAGGGTGTTGTGAGGGCGATTTTGTTTTTTTCAAGGAGGATTTTGTCTCTGACGTGAAGTTCCATTCTACAGGACAAAATAGTGGGTTGTGACCAGAAGAAAGGACAGCATTTAACTTGTTTCCTTCTGGAGAGGAATTTTTCCTACGATAGAACTTTGTGTGGTGACAGCCTCTTCTGGGTTCTGCATGGAAAGAAATCCTTTTTTTTTTTTTTCCAGGTGTTTTTGAAGATTGAAGAGAAGGAAGTAGAACATGCTCTGAAAGACAAAACTTTCATTGGGACGATCTTAGCAACTGGATTGTCCTAACCTCTTCTCTCACTCTTAACGCCCCACCCGAAAGCGGTCAGCTGCCATTTGTGGAGCCATGAACTCTTCATTTTTGAACTTTATTTTCAGGCCCTGAAAGAAGTATGAGCTTTTTACTTGAAACCAGTGAATTTTAATCTACAGACGTGAGAACATTAGCACAGAAAAATGTCCTTGAGTCTTTTTGTTTTTACCCATAACAAGGACCAAGTAGACCAACCCTTTTAAGTTTCTTATACTACCTTTGCCATTTCTGTGTCTCCTACAAATACTCTGGCAAATATCCAGGTGTGTGTTGTGGGATGTGCACCTGTTGCCTCTTGGGTTCATGTGTTTTGTTAAGAACGTTGGGTTGGAGTAAGAAGGACTGAAAAAGGATGATGCAGGAAACCAAGCAAGTCCCTCGTGGAGATTTGGAGGACACTTTGGTCAAAGAATTTCTTTGGGACTGTTCTGTGTCCACAGCATGAGTGCTGCTGCACTCTGACATTTTAGAGATTCGTCTGTTACCTGGGGCGGGGTGGCAAAGGAAAACAATGTTACAGATTGTGAATATATTTATTTCCCAGTCATAGTCTTTGTCTAAGCCCTTGCATTTTAAGCATATATAAGCTTTCTGGTGGTAATATGAAAATTCTCGAGCTGATGCATTGTCTTAGCTGTCCTCAGCTGAAGCTGCGTGTGTCAAGACTCCTGAGTTTGGGAGTGAGTGTGTGTGTGTGTGTGTGTGTGTGT